AGAAGATGGAAACCAATGGTCAACAGAACAGTGATCAAGACATGATACCTGGGGTAAACAACTTCAAGGGAGTTAAAAATAACAATAACTCAATAATCAGTCAGGAAAATGCTATTTTGCAGGCCCCGGGCAGTTACACAGCTGGCTTGCCAAGTCTGAGAGCCTGGAGATCAAAAAGAATATGAATCTTAAAAGGACTGCATTGGAACTAGAAAGGAGGGATGAGCTGTGAGCAATTGCCTGGGGATGAGAGGAAGACTCTGAAAAAGGAAGGGAATGCAGCTGAGCCCAATGATGGAGATAACTGAACTGACTGGGAAAATGTGGGCTGAAACTCACCCCTGCACAGGGCTTATTTCAGCAGCAGGTGGAAGTAAGTCCTGGTGCACCTGGGCATATTGTAACTAGAGATATCTGATTACCATAAGGATTTGCACTGATAATGTCTTCTGATAGACTTTGGTTTTCAGTGGACGAGGAAGAGGGCAAACTAAAACTGCATTTTGGAGCTGATATTCCCTTCTAGTTTAGAATTCACCTTTTTCTGTGCTAATATTTCCCTGCATTAGCCAGACTGTACTTTCTATGCAGTGGAGACATTTCTTGTCAGCTCTACTTAAAAGGATCTGTAGAGTGCTAATGTCTTTGTTCAGCAAGTAATGTTCATCAAGTTACCACATACTTACCAGCTCCAGTAATAGCTGGTGTTTCTGTCCATTATTGGCTGGTGGAAAAAGAAAAGTCTTCAAGATATGCTTAAATCCTAAATGAAATAATATATTTCATTCAAACTGTCTGGAAAGTAAGTGCCTTTAGGTTGAACTTTCCTGAAAAACACATTTTGTTTGAACATGATTGTGACATATTTTGCTTTCCCTTCCTTTTTTTCCTCTTTTTCTTTCTTTCCTCTAACACTGCTCCTGAGCAATACAGGTTAAGACAAGCCATACTCAGCCCTTTGGTAAATCATGATCATCCACATGCAGCACTTCTCTGCAGTTAACATCACATCTCCAAACTCTCCTGGCAATTATATTCAAAACCAGGAAGGTTTTATACTGAAAACAGAAGCTTGTTGAGACAATAGCATGTAAGTACAAGCACTGTCTACGTGGGATGAGAGTTTATGTTTGGAATGACTCTTTTCTCTTTGAAGCCTTGAAAACCTTAATAAATATTTTGGAAGCTGTTTCTCTGGCTGGGGTTTGTTTGAGATTTTTTTGAAATTTCATTGTGCCTGCTTCCCACCCCATCCCACAGATCTGTGTTGTCTATCTGTTACGGCTCGTCAGCTGAAGGCTCCATGGAGCAAGGATTGTCATTATCTTCATGTTTCAGTGAGCTGGCCACCACATGCTACAGAAATATTTGCTATAAAACAATAACGACAGCTCATCCAAGTGGCATTCACCTAAGTACAGAATTATTGCTTTTGAATTTGGAATTTCTTGTTCAGATCTTCAGGAAAATACTACTTTTTCTGAGAGGAAATCCCTCTGCAGTACCAGAGCCTTAGCCCACAGCAGAACAGGGACCATTAGAGTGACTTCCATGTTGGAGTATGTGCAGCTGGAAAACAAACCCCTGAATATGCTTCTATCCAGTTTGCTGTGCAGTAGGCTACAGACCTTATGGTGTAGTTGGGTCCATTCTCTCTCTCCTCAATAAAATGGATGTTGTGTTACAGGCACACATCTGCCCCAGTTTGTGCCAATGTGGGCTCAATGTCCAGGTCCACCCACGGACTGATGTTAGCACGGAGTACTGAGCAATGCAGAAGCTTGGGTTTTTCCATCTCTGCAGAGAGCTAGCTTAATGTACCCATTGAAGATAAAGCTGTGCTGCTCAGGGCAGCAGGGGATTATAAAGTCTATCAGAAAGACTATGCCACAGAGTTTTCAGGGTGATGTATTATCCTTGTTCATCTGCCTCCTCGAAATTAACATCCACCTGAGCAACTCTCTGCATCTTGGCTAAAGGCCAACCATGTTCTCAGCCCAGGGCAGGGAAAAGGAAGGCTCAGGACTGCTCCCAAGAAACTGCCATCACAATGGAGGTACTGACAGCCTCCTGAAAGCCATGGGAAGACCAGGTCTTAAATTGTCAGAGATTTACAGCTTTGATTTGTTACTCGCCAGGATCCTTGCTGGAAGAAACATGTGGACTTGGAAAAAGTGAGTCTTGAAGGGTGACTTAAAAAAAAGATGGTATTAGTGGTTCTGGTTCTGCATGGTACTCAGAGAGAGCCTACTCTGACCCCCTGCCCAGTGTGCTCAGTGAGTGGGTAGGGCTGGGAGTCGCTCATGAGTGTGATATTTTAATATTCAAATGCCCTGAACCAGCCATAAACCTCAGTGACTTTTCCTCACAAATAAAGTCATTTGTGTAGGGGCTGCAGACATGGGAACAGTGCCTTTTGCAGCACCAGTGGATGTCAGTTCAGGGGTGTGAGAACTGGGAGCAGCATGTCTGGTTTCAGGGAAGTTCACTGTGTTCTATGAATAGTTATTTTCAGGCTTTCTGCAGCAATTTTGCTTTGTCTCCATCTACAGCTCTTGACTGTTTCCCATGAATTCTCTTGCTTTTTTTCTCCTCTTATTCAGCATAACAGGAGCAAGCATTATGTTTGGTTTTCAAATGTAACGAATTGTTTGAACTCAGCACCTTCTCCCTTGGGAAAAAAGAGATTACAAATAAATAAAGAAACATTTTTAATTATCAGAAGTCCTCAGCATCTCTGACTGACGTCATTTGGGGTCTTCCCATTGACACTGATGTCAGTTAGAGCTGGATAAAGGACAGGAAGTTATGCATAATGGTTAAATATGCATTTTTTTTTAAATCTGTGCCTTGTTGAAAAGTGACATAGAACATGGGAGACAGAGATAAGGGTTAAATAAATAACTGAATAGATAATCAATGGTAATGCTTAAATAGGTAGGATGAGTTATCAGAAACTTCATAACAGCTTGCTGAAAGTATTTAAGACTCTCAGTCCACTTGTAAATGTAATTTCAAATTTTGACAAGAGGAACAATATTGTCTATTACCAGGAGACAGTACATGAGTAGGATCAGGATGTTGCTTTCACAGTATCTCACTGAACATAGCACCTTGATAGGTACGAAACAAAAATGTCTTCATTTTGATCTATAATTTTACTGCAGGATAGAGGGAAGGTTATCCTAGCTCCAATAAAATTCTAAAATATCTTTTTACACAGTTATCCAATGCTACTCACACTCACTGAACATCAGGGTAAAATTGTATTTGCTCTGTCTTCTGACAGCCACTCTCAAAGAAGGTACTCACAGAAAGAAATAATTTTCATCCACTTACACCGTTTTGACAATCTGGCTCCCTGTTTTATCCCCAAATTGTTCTAATGTGATCCATAGGATACAAGTGCAGTATCTCTGTCTCTGTCCTTGCAATTTCTTCTTCCAGCACATATTCCAGTAATCTTGTGTCATAAATAAGTAAATCCAACAATGTATGTTATTACCTCTCACTGTTCTGTGTCTGCTATCCAACATTACTTCATAACCCACTGAGTTTATTAGGGGATTTTTAGAAGGCATTTCTGGAAATGCTGGTCAAATGTAATTCCACTGAACTACAGAAAATATTTTTTGACTTTGTGCTGTTCTGTGTCACAGCCAAATTCATGTCTGGGTAGACATTATTTCTTACTTTTGAAAGATAAGACAGTGATACAACAATACCACTGTCTCTGCATTCCTCATATTTAGGGATCACTGGTTCAGCAAGCTCTTACTGACATGCTATTAGTTGTCTCTAAGAAACATATCAGAGGTGAGATAACCATTGCCAGGATTCACTTTTGTGGATCTTAAACTCTTTTTCATTACAAATATGACTAGTGATTAGTCAGAAATCTTTATTACTGTATTTACCTTTGCATCTTAGGGGCTTCATCTGCTTCTCAGATTTCCTATTTCCATCCAAATGATGGTTTCCCTCATATGAATTGGTTTTGAGATGTTCTGTATATCCAAAGTTAAGATTCTTATTTGTCTAGATGGTATTAAATAATTCTTTCTCTGCAGGGAAACTGGATTCATGGACAGCAGCTACTGAAAAATTATTATTGACAATAAATTAATCTAGACCTTATTTCTTACATCAGTCTGTTACTCATAAACGGAGCAGACTCAGAGGAAAATTAATTACATTGTCCTAAGCTCTGCAACTACTTTGACAGACACGTAAACTTTTAGGTAAGAGGGGCAACTCCATCCTCCTCTGCTGCTCTGCCTCTGTGACCTGGGCTCTGTGAAGCTAAAGGTTACTTGTATCAGTCAGACTTTGAAGCCCAAATGTCTTCCTAGCTGCAAGCAGTGTCTTTAATGGAAATGAAGAATGCAAAACGCAAGTCTTGATAGGTAGAATACTTCACTGCAGCACATTTAGCAGCCAAATATACTGTGGGTGTTAATGGTGTTGGAACAGAGATGCAAAATTATTGAAGCAAATAAGCTTAACAGTTAAGTTACATTATGCTTTTTTAAATGTTTTGTTCAGTTTTGGTGCTTTTTCTGTGGCTCATTCAGCACAAGTCTTGTGCACTATCTAGAGTTGCTCTCTTGGTGATTTAAATGATATTCAGCACCTCTCATTTTACTGCTCATTAATACTCATTCCTTGCAATGAGAAAGGTCTCACATCTGCACACTTCTTTACACCTCTTGCACTAATGAGCACTTGCTCATTATGCAAGAACTGCAGAATTCCATTCAACACTAACATGAGGTAGAGAAGATGCTTTAAGATGTGCAATGTGAGATCCTCATAGTTGTAAAACTTTTTTAATAAAAGTAATCTTAAATGGCAAGGTTTTTTACATGGTGCATCAGTCCCATACCTTGCCTGTTCTTTGCTTCCTCTTGACTTAAAGCTTTGCAAGTACTCAAGCACCATGTTGACAGTGAAAAACTGATGTCATAGGTACCTGTGGGACAATTTGGTTCTCTCAGAACTCCCGGAGGTCCAAAGCAACTGATCCTGCAGATCTACTTGTTTGCATGACTGAGGGACTTGGAGGCTAGTGCTTCTAGGAACTCCATTTCCATCCTGCTGCTGTCCACAGGTGAGTGTGAACTCTGGAAGAGCCATACCCCAGCCTGTCATGCTGCAGCTGGGCATTCATCCTTACATTTTATTTTTAATGAAAATATTTCAGGGCATGTGATCCTGCAAGCACTTGCATTAACCTTCTTTAAAACTAGTCTATGAAGTCTTCTTAGTTAGTCCTCTAAAATGACCAATCTAAGCAATTTTCTGCATCCCATTTCTTCTGCTTCAGCACTTACACCTCGTATTCAGAGTAATACCTTGAGTCCAGTGCTCAGCTGACAGTCCAACCCACACCATGAAAGCAGAATCTGGGCATTCATCTACATCTGTGTGACATCTGTATAATTTAAATAACCTCCCACGACCCTTGTGTTCATGTAATTACTGACAAAAATTATCTTGCCCATAAACTGGGTGAACTGTGTATAAATCCTTGATGCCAGGGAGTAGGATTCTGAAATGTGAGTTATATTCAGAAGGAATATAAAATGCAGAAGAAATTACTCTTGCCAGAAAAAAGATTGATTCACTGAGTTCTATTCAGCTTTTAATTTATAACAAACTTGCCTAATCTCAGTTTCTGTAGCTTCTGTTAAAATATTAACCAACATTATATCAAGTACATCCCCTGTGATATTAAAGGGAATGGAAAGCTTAGGCACACATTAATTGCATTCCAAAATGTGGCATAGACCTTAATAAACCTAATTTAAAGAACCTTAGAACAATGACATTTATGCTTTAATTAGAGCAAAGGAAAGCTGGGCCACACACTTTTAAACAAACAATTTTTCTTGCGGGACTCGGCCTTTCTGACAAGGTGCACATTTCCCTGCACTGTGCCACACATCAGTCTTCTTCCACAGGCAAAATTGGCTTCCTGGAGATGGACATTGCCAAACCAAAACACAAGAATGAAAAGCATTATGAGAACCAAGCAGACAGCATAGGCAGCCTTAAAACAGGGCTTTCTCAAAAACCAACTGGACTTTCCCAGGAAAATGAAGTAATTTATTTCTCTTTAAGGAGGACAGATTAAAATAACCAGATACGTTCCAAACCCAACAATAACAGTTTAAGATGAAAAATGTTATTTTAATGATCCCTATCACTCTGGTATTCTAATCACAGCACATACGTTTAAAATGGAAAACATCCAAATCTGCCAAGAAACAATTGACATGAGACAAAAACCCCTTTCAAATCAGATAGATTAATAGATCTAATTTATTTTAAAGATATTCACAAACTGCTATAAAAAACAGATTGGTCATAAGACTCTAAGTTGTTACCATATGCATCTCACAGATTCTGTGTTATGTTCCTTATGCTGGCAAACTGACTAATGATTTCAAGACTGTTCCCCAGACAAGAACATGACAATTTGTGTGCTCTGCATTAAAGCACTTTGTGCTCTGCAGCAGAAAGAAACATAAATTTTTGTGGAAGAATTTAGATGTTCTTTCACAATCTGGTCCAGTAAAAAGGAAATTGTGTAGCAGCTTAATATATATTTAAAACTGACAATCTCTCTGAATGCAGATGAATGATGTAATATGTAAATACTGCACTTGTATTTACTTTCATTTTGCTTTTTTAATCTTTTAATACTGTAGTCACAATCTCAGTATTTCATTATCTTGCAGGTTTTCACAGCAGACCCTTTGGCTGTTGTTTCTCTGAAGTTTGACAGAGTTTGGAGGCACTTGGGACCATCAGATAAGCAGAGCAGCCAGGTAGACTTGTTATCAGCAATTTAATTGTTTACTCTGAAACCTAGTGACACTAATTAAAAATGTCAATATTGTCAACAATTCAATAACATTTTCAATGAAAAGTATGGGTATTTGGAAATACAGCAAAAATATTATTTTTAAAAAGCTGGTCATAAAATAAATTTGCAGTTTCTTAGGGAATTCTAGTATTTCTAGGACTTTCTTCAGTATCAGGGTAAAACCCCTAACTTTTAGGCAGAGGGCTGGTGTGGCAACAATGCATTCAAGCCCAGAAAGCTGTGATGACTTGTTTCATTTAACAGGACAGAAGTATTTGATTCTGACTTATGCAATTTATCCTATTTTGATTTCTGTACTAAAGTATTATTATAATATATTGCAAAAGGCTAAGCCAGATACATGAGGATGGTTGACAAAACTCGATTTTTTTTCTGGTTGAAATTAATGATTTTGATATGCCTGAAATAGAATTTGTAAGTAAATAATGCTTCCAGCTTTTTTTCCAAAATCTTTTTTTGGGAAAAAGAAAACAAAACCAACCAAACAAAAAAACCCCTCCAAACCCCATGTTCCAAACTCTGATGAAACTGCAGATTCTGGAAAACGTTGTTTCATTTGAGAAACATCATCAACCTCTATCTTGGGGCTCATTCAGGTAATTTAATGCACACAAAGCTAACACTTGCAATCAAGAAGGACTAGCAATACATTTTTAAAGAGGAACTTCATTTTGGAAAACACTAGAATTGTAACACTGTAGGAAGTCTGTGGCATCAGGCCAAGTACTTGATATTAGCTGTTAATTGGAACTCAAATTCTTACTCTTTTTTGTGGGCATGAAAAGTGATGAACCCAGGGCAGCTCTAAGCAGGACTGGATGCTACAGGAATCCCTTAAAACCACTGCTATAAATGGTTACACCTCATTAGCAAGAGGCTCATGTCTAATGTCCAAATCCTGGTAGAACAGAAAGTCAGAGTTCATTTATCTTAGACTTTAACAGCCCTGAGCATTAGCAGAAAGCCCAGGTGGGTAGAGGACATGTTCCTGTGCTCCTCTGAACAAAAATGATGATGCTGATGAGCTATGCAATGGATGTCAGGTGATCTGGGAGTGAAGCACCAGCCCCATGTGATCCCGTGATGAAGCAAAGACATGAATTTATTGAGTATAATTTCTTCTTCCTGGCAGTGAAGACAGGATATAAATGAGCAGTTACGGCTGAGTTCTTCTCCTCTATTTAAATCATGAGACTTGCCCCGCAATATCACACTTGAGAATTTAAAAACACTGAATCACACCATTTAATTGTGGCTACTTAAACCTCCATCTGACTGCGGCAGAGTTTTGTTTTTGAAGATACAATATAGAAAACCAGAAAATTTAGAGTTAATCTATACATAAAAATATGGGGTAAATACAGCATGAACACCAGAAAAATCATTGGTATTTTAAGAAATTCTTTTTCTTCCCTATTACCACTATGCTGTCGTAGCACAAGCAGAGTTGGCCTGGTATGTGTGGTTGTGTGTTCCAAGTGATGGTTAGATGATTAGTAATTCAACATGACCTTGAATTCCATCACCCTCAGACTGGTAATCACACAGCTTATGTCTATTTTGCTATTGCTTTGGGTAGGAGAAGATAGAAGGATTTTCCTTCTTTGTGAATACTTGAGCAGCAGGGGCTAATCTGACTCCATATGGTATTAATAGAACTTCACCTTTTTTTATTTTTTTTTTATTTTATACTATTCGAATAATGTCCAAGAACAGCACTTGATATTAGTCATGGTAGTATGAAAACACTGTGTCAATATTTTTTTCCATGAAAAATACTGCGAGAAAAAATTCATTTTGCAGCTGCTACTCTTTGGGACACATTCCTACTATTCACTCACCTGTGCTTAGGGGTAAGGCAGCAAGAAGCAAAACAAATACCTCAAACACATACTGAAGAATGTATTCAATGGGAATAAGAATAATAAACTGTTCTAACTTGGGAAAGCACAGAGTACTCAATCCTATTTTTCATGACTATTGGTCATCTCAAGATGAGATTCTCAAAGGCCTGGTTTGCTCAGGCCTTTTGAAGATCCTAAATTTAGTGGGGTGGCTGAGGGTAAATAGGGGATGCAGAACTTACCCAATCCACATTTTGGCACTGGACAGTGTCAAAACTGTGTACACATTTCTCATTTCCAGACCGTGACCGTTCCAGAGGTGACTCCACCCACACGATCCAGCTTTCAGGCAGCTGGTTCATGACGAGGAAAACTTGCTGTTCTCTGTGGAAATCATCTGTTTCAGGCAACAGGAGCAGCAGAGGAAACATTAGACTGATGCTGAGCATGATTAAAGGCAAATTTAGACAAGGATCAGCTGTGTCCAGCACCACTGCAGGAAGTACTTTCCTGTGATCCCATATTGTTACTTATGCTCTGACTTAACCACATTTCATGCAGCTCCTGCCTACAGTTGCTAAGTGCTCTGATCTGTCTCCATCATGCACAGTCACTGCCATAGACAGTTGGGATGTAATTGTAACATGGGGGAAAACATGTAGCCTTGTCCAGACAGATATAACTGCACAGCCTTGACATCCTCCCTCCTTGGGGTTGGGAATCAGCATAATCTCTGTGGTCCTCTATAGCTTCAGTGCACCAAGGGCATTTCTTGAAAATCCTGTTCTCAGATTTTGCCTTCCATCACCGTTCAATACTCTAATTGATAGATGGTAACTTTAAGGTGAAACACAACGTGCTCAGAATGGGAAATACCTGACAAAACCTGTAAACATCACATTACAAAAAGATAACTCAGGCTCTGAAGAATCAGTCACCAACCCACATTTCTCCTTTTGGTCTCTCTGGCTTTGTCTGTCTTTCTGCCTCACACGAACGGACAGAATAAAATACAGCACGAAAGAGGCAGTATGAAAAGACAGTGTCCTGCTTACACCCCACCAACAAAGCTTTTAAGGTATTTCCTTTCCAAGTTAGCTGTAAGCATGTTATCCTGGAGTGAATTCCATGGACTCAGGAAAAAACGATGCTCTGGAGTGGCAGCCAGTAAGTGGCTCTTCCAGAAGTGCAAATTAGAGCACAAGACAAACAGGAGAAGCCCTACATATCATCCCAGCCCTCATCACATTTCATTTTGCAATATGGTGACAATTGTGAAACAGCTAACTACATTTTGTTCATGTTTTCTTAGACAAAGATGAATAGGAAAAGGAAGATGGTGGTTTTCCAGCTTCCAAACCCCCACAATTCATTTGCCTAATATTGTCTGGGAGTCTTATCTTCAACAAAACTCTGTGCATGTGAAACACTCAGACAGAGTGAATTGAGATTAGATGAGTAGAGTAAAAATGCATTTCAGTCTCTGGATATCCAGGATATTTTGTGACAAATTCCCTCACGATTTTGTCCAGTCCGAAGCACACACCGTAGGCATTGCTATTCCACAGTCTTTTTTTTATAAGCATTCATCTCAGCTGCCTTGCAGTGCTATTCCCACTGTATCATTATCTCCTACCCCAAAAGATGCAACCACCAAACAGGAATCTGGATGCCAACTCCATCACTCCACTGTTTAAAATCCTGACACTCAGCCTTCTGTTTGAGGGGATCAATACATGATCTGGCCTGGATGGATAGAAATTAATTGATGTGACATTTCACAATTAATTCAGAACACTGGGCTAATGCTAAGAGTGGTTTTAATGATGCAGATGAAATGTTCTACTGCATGAATTCCCCCAGCAGCAGTTTGCTGGAAGCTGCAAGAGTACACCAGAGGGAAGTATAACTCAGCATTTGCCTTGTCTTTACCTTCCTTCCTCAATCATTGCAGAGTTAGTGGACACTGTCAGACACAAAACTCTCAGCCAGGTGGATCTTTGGGCCGATTAGTTGTTATGTGTTGGTAAGTGTTTTTAATATAAGTATACTACTACACTTTTTTATATGTTAGCAGATACGGTAAAAGAATTTTATTATATTTGAGGTGATCTGGAAGAATGGATGAGAAAGAAAAATTGTCTATGGCTGTATATTCATCTGTTCAAGATGGTTGTTCCTTCTTTGTTAATACAAATGTGAGAACCATAAAGCATATGGTAAGGGATGGTCCATCACTTTTAAAGCACACTTTTGCTAATGTAGAAATAAATTATGATGCATTCCATAATTCAGGGATTAGATTTCTGAACATAATTAAGCATGTACTGCCTGGTCTTTGAGACACGGGTACATGTGTTCAGTTTGTCTATTTCAGAAATAAAATCAAGTAGGAATATTTTGTGCAAGCTCTTTAAATAAAAGGGTCTGCTGAGAATTTGCATAACATCTTACTCGTGAAACGTAAAATGTGTCATAAATCATAATTCAATTTATAAGACAATTAAATGCATGTGTTTCTGTTCTCTTTTATTGTTCTTGGAAATTGTTATCTTGCATAGCTGGAGAAAGAGAGGCTAAAGAAAGCAGAGAAGAATTAGAATAGAATTAGCATTAGAACAGAGGGCAAATGTCAGACAGTCACTTCCTTCACATATTTGTTTTTTCTAGCTATCCTGTGCTCAACTGAAATAGCACAGCATATTTCAAATTCCTCATAATTTCTTATTTTCCTTAGGACACAGATTGCCTCCTATGTCTCATGGGATTCAGATGGTTTTGTTGCAATTAACTGTGAGAGATTTTCTGCCATTTTAGTCTCTGTAGCTTATGATACTCAGTAAATCTCTCTGATGAGATAAAGAAAAGTCTCTAAAGGGGATGGAGTGTTGTTTATGAAACTTATCAAAGTACTCTTCGTAAATTCTCACTGTAAACAAGGCAAAGGCCTCCCTCAACTTGGCAGCAGTATTTTTATAATATGCCATGTTCTTAAAGTATGCTTTTCAAACTGCATTGCCATAAATGTAAACGTGTCCTGGTCCTATTGTATGTTTTATTGTATGCCCGAACACATCAATCTTTTGTTGATTACGAATAGATCAATTCTAGAAATATTGTAAAACTAGAAATCATGAACCGAGAAATTAAATACTTCTGTCAAGATGTGTGGTGTGGATGTTGTATTACTTGAATCTTTATATTTTATTACATTCATAGACTTTGTAAAAGAGCAGATGGGGCAGCAGGAATCTGGGAAATCGGCAGTTTGGTCTCACGCTGAGCAGTGAGTGAAAAAAGCCCTTTTCCCTGCAAAAGACCAGCTCTGGTTTTACTGTTCATTTTTACTAAACTGGCTAATCTTTTACTCCAGCTACTATTATAGGACTAGTGAGTTGGAGGGATGCCACACAGTGGCAAAATTTTAGCAAAAAGTCTTCACCTTGCTGGAGCTACTTGTGATGTGCATGTTTGTTTCAGCAGAATTTAGCTCAGGGCCTTATTTCTGAGGGTGGAAAGGGATAAATATGCTCAGGACTCTCTACTGACTTGGAACTCCATTCCTATTTCTTCAACCCAACAGGTCTCATTCGCTTCATGCTTTAAATAATAATATCCCAACTGAAATAGACCACAAACACATCCCTTCAAAGGAAAAAGCTCTTGGTTCAATATAAGATATACTGCATTTTGGAAAAAAAGACTTGACTTGCATAGTTCTTGGTGTCAGTTTGCTGATACAGGGCCAAGTGCTATTTCTGGGATCTGTCTTTTTGTTCATGTCTTGGGTTCATGTAAGTAGACCAGTATTGTTTATATGGTTTGGGGTTTTTACCCATTTGCTTCACAGAATGATTTCAGGGATATAATTAGGTATGCACTGTGAAAACTATATTCCCAGATGCTCTGTGGTCAGTTCTACCTGAGGTAACCACCAACAGCCTCTATCAGCTTAATGATGTCTATTGTTGGCAGTACTTCTGTCAGAGAGCAAGGTTAATATCAGGAAATAAAATAAAATCTGCTTAGTAAACATTGTGAAGAAAACAGGTTATGTGTTAATGTGCTTGCACCAGCTACTCCTCTCTTAGGCTTTATAATCAAGTTTCAGTGTTTAAATTTTGGTTGTTAATACGTGGTTAAATTTATACAAACTTTGAAGTAGCTTGAAATGTTAGAGCTGAAGTTAAGAGATAAAAGGTGTCCGTCAGGTGTTTGGCTCCCAGTCCAGACTTCTACTAGCACAGGAACACTTGTCTGATCTCGGTTACATTTCTTAGGTAACAGACATCTGCCACAGACATTTCACCTTTAGAAGGGTTTCTGTAATACTCAATGTCATTTTCCCTACAGGAAAACCACTACAGAATTTAACAGCAATAGCTATAGAGAACATCATAGAAACTACATTTCTATACCTCCAGGACCGAATAGAGATTAATATAACTTACACATTCCTATCAAGGTCTTTTATTGCATTTTATACGAAGAATACAATTTTCTCTCACATTATATGGGATAGTTTAAAGAACAAGGTTGTAATTTCCTTAACAAATGCTTTTAAGACCTTCCTATGATAGTTCACATTTTAAATTTTATCATTTTTTCTATAGCTTATTTAGGCAAGTGTGGTCACCCATATGTGACGAAACAAATTAAAAAGGGCACATAATGTTCCAGTTCAAAGTACTT